TGTGTATATATATATATATATACATTTTATTTATATCACTACTCAAATAGTATTTTTAAGAGCTAAAGACTAAGCTGTTTCCCTTTAAAACAGTGAATTTACCTTATAATCTGTTAGTCCTTCAGGGTCAGCTTTAATTTAAAACTTTTAAAAACTCTTAAAGGACAAGAAAAACTTCATTGACTATTGCCAGCTCATTTATAAAATATGTGTATTATGTATATATGCATAATGAATGTATGGAGGATGAGAAACATTACATAAAGTTTGAAGTACTGTTTTTTCATGTAAATGAGGTTTTTTCTAAAGCAGTTTGCGTTTTTGCAGAATGCATTTTTGTATTCACAACATAAAACATGTAAATAAAATAATCTATGCATAAAATGGAAAACAACTTTTCTACATGTTTGAAAATACGATGCAGGTCCTTTATCAACCATTGGGAATGTGCAGGCCCTTACTTGGCTTCACTCCCGGACAGCAGAGCATTGTGTAGGTTAGAGCAGCTGTCAGACTGTGTGCTCAGCAGACATATATGTGCATGACATGCAACAAGTATGTGAGTGTCAGGGTACAAGTGAAAGGTTTTACAAATGCCCTCCCAAATGGGCCTTAGTCTACATTTATAAAGTCCTGTAGGTGTTGTCATATAGCTTCTTCGTGTGGTGGTTTAATTATTTTGACTGTAATTTTCTTTCCTATTCTTTACCCTAGTGATTATTTCCCCATATCTCTATGAGAGTTACCCCATGCCGGTCATCCCACAACCAGAGATCCTCAGCTCAGGAGCATACAACCCCATTACTGTGTGGACTACAACAGCTCCATTCCACTCCCCACTGCCAAATGACCTTTCACCTCTCTCTGGATATCCCTCAGCCTTGGGGCGAGTGAGTCCCCCTCCTCCATCTGACACCTCATCCAAGGACCACAGTGGCTCAGAAAGTCCGATTAGTGATGAAGAGGAAAGAATACAATCCAAGCTTTCAGACCCCCATGCCACTGAAGCTGAAAAGTTTCAGTGCAATTTATGCAATAAGACTTATTCAACTTTTTCTGGGCTGGCCAAACATAAGCAGCTGCATTGCGATGCTCAGTCTAGGAAATCCTTCAGCTGTAAATACTGTGACAAGGAATACGTGAGCCTGGGTGCCCTTAAGATGCACATTCGGACCCACACTTTACCTTGTGTCTGCAAGATCTGTGGCAAGGCATTTTCTAGACCCTGGTTACTTCAAGGACATATTAGAACTCACACTGGTAAGAAAATAAAAAAAGTAGATAAGAGTATTGCTCTCTGCTAGAATGAAGCTCTGTGCTGGCTATTGGATTTGCATTAAGTAGTGACACAGTGCTCTTACCAATTGACGTTAATTTATAGCAACTTCCTGACTACTCTCCAGAAGTCCTTAGAGCACCAAGTGCTCCAATTTTTGTTAACAGCCTCTGTTGCGGCGACTGCAAACAACATTTAGACTTTGGAAAGTAGGCACCGGAGGTTTGGTCTCAAAGATCAGTTAGAAAATCAGGAAAGATGTATTTGAATGTGTGTTCTGTGTAATCAGCAAATACAAATGTTACTATCTTAATCAATTGATTTGGTAAATAGATGAAGAGTTTTCTGTTAATCACTTTCTGGCTGTGGTATCTAGCAGTCCAGAGCTAGTTGGGTAGATGTAACTGAATTTTTTTTTCTTCTTTCTGAATTGTTTTATTCCTAGCACAAAATTATTCTCTGGGGAGTGAAGTCATTTATCATGCCTTAGTCATAATACAGAAAGAGGGAATATACTGGGAAATGTTGGGAATTGCTCAACATTCACTGCACCTGCTAAAGCAGAAAGCTTTCATAAGTGAAAGTCCTAGAACTACATGAATTATTTCTGTGTGACTGGCAGTAGTAATTATATTCTGGGTGTGATTTTTTTTTTAATGCAATCTTCAAATTTTTCTTAAAGGGCCAGATATTAAAATAATGATCTATTACAGTGAATTTTAATCAAGTTTTGCTGCTTTTCATTCTTTTAGAAAAGGATAGTGAATATTTATAAACATTGTTTGACTTTATTTTTCCTCTGAAAACACTGACTTTCTTTTTCATTTCCTTCCTGCCCCCACCCCCTCCGCCTCACAGGGGAGAAGCCTTTTTCTTGCCCTCACTGCAACAGAGCCTTTGCAGACAGGTCAAATCTGAGGGCCCATCTGCAGACCCATTCTGATGTAAAGAAATACCAGTGCAAAAACTGCTCCAAAACCTTCTCTCGAATGTCTCTTCTGCACAAACATGAGGAATCAGGCTGCTGCGTAGCACACTGAGTGATGCAATCAATGTTTACTGGGATAGAATTCATTTCTTCACTCCAATTCCAAAGGCATTTTCTCTTGTGCTTACCAACCAAACACACACACACACACACACAGCTGAAAATCACAAATCCATGTGTTTAAATTTAATCCTTTCCATGTGAAGTTTAAAATTTTCATATATTTACTGACAGCCAGATTGAGAGGATAAAAGACAAGGACCTTTCTTTTCAAAGATGAAGCGAAAAACCACATTGCATCTTTTTTTAAACTAAGGAAGAATGCAAAGATTTACAGTGCTGCCAAATCATTTCAACTGAAGTATTGCTTTGTAACAGAGTTTGTAATAGAATTTCTTATAGGAAGAGAATCTGCCAAACACTATCTCAGGTGCTTTGTAAAGTATTCCAAGTTTACTGCCTTACATGTTGGATGTCTGGTAATCATGTTAAATTAAGGGCCATTTTGGTTATCTGTAATGCTTTAAACTGTATTTTTAACAGAGGCCAAAAAAAAAAAAAAAAAAACAAGAGAAAAACAGAAATGAATGTATTAAAAGCTTTTTTGGGGGGAAGGTTAAGGGAGGGGGTTTATTTTTTTTATTTGCCAGTAAAGAGTATGTGCCTTGTGGGGGGGAGGGAAATAAACTTTAGACATTCCTGGTACATACTTGATCCATGTCTTACATTTTTTAAGATTTTTAAATGATTTTCTAAGCTTAATTAAAACTGGGAAAAAGTGCAAGAAAGGATTCTTAGGAACTCTGTAATGTACTTAAAAATATTTTAAATACATAAACAAATGCAGTACACTCAACAGTCTCCCATTCCAAGTGCCTTTTTTTCTAATTGTATAGAGGATGAGTCAATGTAAATTTGTGTTTATTTTTATATGATTGAATGGATTTTGTATGAAAGTGAGATGTTGTTTATAGCTATGCCAATAAACAACCTGAAGATTTGTAAAATCAATATTTCTTTAAAAAAAAATTTGAAGATCTTTTTTTTACAATAAACCTTTTTGATTTAATATCTATCATTTGTGTACTATTTTCAGAGGCTTTAGTTTCCTTGTGATTAGTATGAAATGTCTACACAAAGTATCATTTCTTTTGTTAATAAAAGAAAATGAGAATAGTGCAATTATGTATATTAGGTGTTATTTTATAAATGTTAGATTCTAATAAACTGATTCATTTTTTTCTTTACTCTTAAAATCACACTGTTAAATTCAGAAGGACTCCATCATCATGTAGTTTGCTAGTACTAAAAATACTCACATGTTAATAGACAGAGATACTTTAACAAAATCTTTCTCTTTATGTTGACTTTGTAAAAGCAAATTACAATCTCACATAGGACCACTAGAACAGTTTATGATTTTTAAAAGAAATATTTAATAAGATGTAAGAGGAAAAAGTGAAAAACTTGCATGAAAGCATCAGAGAATAAAAGAAAGGATTTACCATAGATTATACAAGTTGGAAAGTTAAACCATGAAAAAACAACCCACATCTAGTGAGAGAAAATAAGTGATAGATTTGATGGGAGCAGGAATAAATAGTGGAGAGTTAAGGTTTCCTTTTGTGGCATTCTGAGCACATTGGTACAAGCATCCACCCAAATCTAATATATACCTGATAAAATATAACATGACTCTCCACTCCATATGTAAGTACCAAACCAAAACAGAACCCTCTGCCACTAAGTCTATTCTGACTCATAGCCATCCCAGTTGGGTTTCCAAGGTGGTAAAGCTTTACAGAAGTAGATTGTGCCATCTTCCTTCCACGGAGGGGCTGGTGGATTTGAACTGCCACCTTTCTGGTTAGTAGTTAAATGCCATAGGCACTGAGCCATTATATATAAATACTTGATTATTAAATCCATGTGTACTAATTTACATGCAAAAATGCTAACCGTTATAGGCGTTATGACAAATGGTAAAGGCTATATTTGAATCCAAATCCATGATGAGGAGAGTTCCTGCTAATGTGAAGCACTTCTCTCTGTTGTATGCTGAACTTTCAGAAGTTCATTTTTCCTTATAATGCCCTTATGGTACAAGTAAGTAAAAGCCAGAACTTGTATTTCAAAGGTGTTAGTATAAGCCATTAGGAGCTATAGTATGAATACTATTAATGTTCACAACATTCCCCGCTTTGTGACACATAGATTCTTAGCCAACATATAAAAGGTTTATCATCTGACAAAATATCTTCAATTTAATAATCTGCTTTAATAATTTTTGAAATCTTATCTCAAGATATATTTTTCAGAGGCAAAATTGTTTGGAATAACAATTAAACCATGAAAATATGGATGAAAGGTTGACTGGTACATTCTGAAGTTTTAAAAATGCAACTTTAGCTAACTGTATATCATATAGAAATGATTGCCAAATAAAAATACTGAAAGTATCCAGCCACATAACGTGTTGCAGTATCTTGCAAGGGTAAAAATATGAATGAGTCAAACATTCTTCAAGTGTGTTGCATGGCTTTTGGAAAAACAGCATCTACCCATACTCACTCCTTAGCTCATAGACCAATAGGCAAGTAGATTTTTGGTTTCTAAAACTCAAAACAGCCAGTGTCTTAAAGGATAAATTGGTTCACTGGTTAATTCCTTGGTGAAAAATTAATGATAATAATTTTTGTAATATATTCAGCTGCATTCTCACCATTAAAATTTAATACATTATTAAAATATTCTACTCTCATTAAAATAGTAAAAGTCTTGAATTAAGGTATATCAGATATCATAACTATATATATATCTCAGTAACATAGTAAAACTATGAAATCACCAAGATAAAGTACACTATTTTTGACATATTGAAAGCTCAATATACATGAATTTGGGCTTTTTTATTTTTTTTTTTTACCTATTTTAGCCAGCCAGTCTTTAATTCCATCCCTGCTCCCATGGACCTTGAAGGCAGGTACATAGATATCATTGTAAGCTCAGCATCTACCAACAGCATTGCTGGGGGTAGGGTTTTTCAAGCAAGGGAACAAGAGAAGGACTTGTGGAGTGACGAGGTAGAGACAGACAAGCATTTGTAAGAACATGAGCCAGCAGTGCTCATATGTTTCAACATGAGGAGAGAGGATATGTTGCAATTTCCAAAAGACAATTTCATATTGATGTCTATGGCTGTGATCAGAATATATATGGAATATACGAACACCACATATACCATACACAAAATTCACACATCACACAAACTACACACACCCCATACACACATTCACACACATACCACAGACACACACTATACATATCATGCACCACAGATACTACACACATACCATACACTCATTCCCACACTTGCACACATGAACAGGCCACATATAAAACACACTGCACATACCACACACACATGCACATACCACACACACATGCACACACCACTGTGACACACATTCACACACATGCGCACATATCACATGTTCACTCACTCACACATGGACAGACTCTTACCACACATACTGCATATACTACATGCACATCATGCACACACACATCACACATACATCCCATATACAACATAAATCGCACAAATACATCACATATAACATACTCACACACATACTGCACACTACACATGCACATGTCACAGACCATACATACCACATGTCACACATGCATAACATCTGCACCCATATGTACCACTACCACACATATTCACACACATATCAAACACACACACACACACACACACATCATGGGAAATTGTCCTGCAAGGCAGGTGTTCAGGAACGGACTAGATAAAAAATCATTTGTTGGGGATGTCATGGAGATGGGTCAGATTGTAGATCTGATTTGGGTGGAAGACTGTACAAGATCCCTAAACCCTGGGATTTCATCAAATACAGTTTCCACAAAGGACTCTGACTAGATGTCTGATCTCCTACAGTGCATAAGACCCAGCTCAAATGTCACTTACTTTGAAATACTTTTCCAAACTCCCTCCTGTGAGCTTTATATACCATTTATACCAGAGCAATTACCTCATTACATTGAAATATTTTGTTGATCTCTCTTTTTCTTTTTTAATAGATAGATGCAGAAATTCCCAGAACCTAGTGCATCACCTGGAACATAGACATCAACTAATGTTTATTGAATAAATAAGTATACTTATGAATAAATAATGATTGTAATTATAGAATGTGATGAAAACAGCTTACAGATCTAAAAGAAATCCAATATATTCACTATATTGCCAAAAGTTTTGATAATATCTGAGAAGACTTCAAAGAGAATTTGTTTTTGTCATCAAAGCTTGTGCTCACCAAACCAAACCAAATCCACTGCCATCAAGTCAATTCCTATGCATTGTGACCCCCATGGGGTTTCCAAGGCTTTCAATCTTTTTTACAGAAGTAGATTGCCTCATCTCCTTCTGGAGGAGCAGCTGGTGGCTTTGAACCACCGATCTTCTGATTACCAGCCAAATGCCTGAGGACCGAGTGTACACCAGAGGTCCTTAAGCTTGTGATGATAGCTCTGCAAAATAGATTGGATGCCCAGCAAAGTGGAGAAGGGCAGATCTTGGGCTTGAGTTCTGGAGCTTTGAAAATAGGGGTTTAAGCATATGTGAAAGTGCTGCTAATGTCTCAGTCTCCATTGTTTCACGTACTGTGAGATTGTGTGATGTGGTGGAAGGAGGATATGATTTTTAATGTGATATTCATGTCTATGAAAGCACTGACCCATAACTTGTCGGCTGGTTGTCTTATGCAAGTTACTTAGCCTCTCTATGCCTCTGTTTCATAAAATGTAAAATGGTAGTAGCTATACCTTGGTTCTTTTTTTTTTTTTTTTTTTTCAGTTGTGATTTGTGTGAAGGTTTACAGAGCAAATTTACTTTCCATACAGTGGTTCACATATACTTTGTCTCATGACATTGACCATAGTTTACCACAATGCAATATCTCCCCTCCCTCTTCCTCCCCATAGTTACCTCTTCCTTGTGTCCATCTCTCCATGCACTCCTGCCCCCTG